AATTTATTGTTGATATTAATTTATCTGTTATTAATAATTTATTACATAAATACCTACTAAAATTTAAATATTATATAAAAGTTTTAAAATATTAAATGCATTACGGGAAATACAAAAATAATTGCGAAACCAACTATCAAATGAATCAAAAGACCAGTGACGTTTACTTAGATAAAACTTTCTTCAGATCCTGTATATTTGAACATATTCTTAACAATCAGATTACTATAACTCAAACATGTGTTATTTGAGTAACGATTTCGATGCGATATTTATTTCTTAAATGACTTTTGACATCCGATATGATAAGGAAAAAAATTATTAGATGTTGCCAAATATATGAACGACGAATGTATTTTGAAAATTTAATTTCAAATTTATAAGTATTATTAACTTCGCATAGGGCAAGTTAAATAATCGCAAAAAAATCGAAAATAATTTTTTTATATATCTTCACGTTTCAGAGGTTTCTGGACATTTTGGCATACCTTAAAAAAATGGATTTGTGTGTGAATGTGTGTGCGTTTGTGTTTGTGTATGGATACAAATTTCGTCGACGATTTCAGGAACACGGATCAACCGATTTGAACAATTTAAAAAACATTCGATTTCAAATTCAAATGCAGGACTAGCCGTTTCGAAGATACGGGGCAAAAGAGCCAAATATCAAACATTTTAAAACAATCGATTTTTTCCAAAAAAATCTAAAAATTTTCGAACTTTTAAAAAATTGTCAACATTTTGATTTTTTTTTGAATTATCCAAAAAATCTAATTTAAAAAACGGGAAATTTTCAGCAATTGCCTTAAGACACGATGCCATACACCACCAGTTAAGTTTTTTCACAATTTTGAAACCATTTTACAGTTTACACATTTGTTTCAAATTGACATCTGGCAACATTGCACGTGCCGATTCGTTCCGATTTTATTTTTGACTTTTGTGACATTAGGTTAGAGTGAATATGGAAATATTTTAATAATATTACTGTACGGAATTTGCAGTGTGAGTGCCGTGCCATTTTAGTGTGAAAAGTATAAAAAATAAGAGAAAATGGTCGTTTGTAGAGTTATATCATTATCTTGTCGCCGTTTACATGCACCTGCCAAATTTTTGAACCCACTTTTGAATTCACAAAATCAATTGGCAAGGACGAGTATTAAATATATTTCTACATCACAGATAACTTTGCAGGTAAATTATACGTATTTGTTTACATAGATGACGTAGATGACATAGAATTAATTGATTTTGTCCAAATACATTAATGAAACTCACAGTGAATTATTAAATTTTACAATATAAATTACAATATAATAATTTTTTCAATAAGAGTTATATTTATACAAATGAAAAATAAATGAAAAACATGTTTCTGTTAATAATGCATTCATCTTTTACATTTTACAGATTGTTATCAACTGTTTTATGTGAAATCCTTAATATTCTTTTCAACTGTTCTAAATGAAATTCATAATTTCATACCAATTTAAAACAAATTTTTGATACAATGAAATACAATATCACAAAGTTTTTAAAATATTTTAAATATAACCAGGGTTGAAGTAGCATTCTAAAAATTATATAGTTTTCATTTCGAGAGCTGCATTTGTCAATGTAATATTATAAAATATGAAAGTTGTGCAAAACTAAACAAATTACTATTTTTGTCTAATAATAATTTTCTAATAATTGCATTGACTGATTAAAACGAACAGTATTTTGAATTAATAAGTAAGTTGATTTTTATAAAATCAAGTAATTTGTATGTTGACAGCGTGCAAAGAAGTTGTGCCTTCTGCATTATAAAAGTAATGTCACAGCTTCAGTTTTATTGATCTTTGAAATAATACTTTGAATCCTGCAATTTATAGATCATATATAATGTACAAATATATATATATATATATATATATATACATATATATATATATATATATATATATATATATATATCACCATATGTAATCTAATTTTTCCTTTTCTTTTCAGAACGTAAGTACACAGATAAACATGAATGGGTTGTTGTCGAAGGCAATGTAGGGACTGTAGGAATCTCAAAATATGCTCAGGTCAGTTTAATAAATAAAAAAGAGTGCGCGTAAGGTTCACACAGGATTGAAGTAGAACTGTTTTGCTATCATATGAGATGGTACTATTTTTATTTCAGGAAGCCCTCGGAGATGTTGTTTATGCCAGCTCCCTGATGCAGGTACAGATCTTTCTCAAAAGGATGAATGCGGAGCATTAGAAAGTGTAAAGGCAGCATCAGAATTATATTCTCCTGTTTCGGGCAAAGTTACTGAAAAAAACTCAGCTGTAGAAAATTCACCAGCTTTGATTAACACATCATGCTATGATCAGGGTAAATAGAATAACTAGTAAATGAATTGTAACTAATAAATTTTTTGAATTTAGTTTATATATATATATATATATATATATATATATATATATATAAATATTTGTAATAATTAATGTACTGTTTTTGTTACAGGTTGGTTATTCAAAGTAAATCTGACGAAGCCTGAAGAGGTGAATAAATTGATGAGTGAGAAAGAGTATGAAGAGTTTTGAAGAGCGATCACCATTAAATTTGGTGCATTTAAGCTAGTTTCATCTGTGATTACCAATGATTTGGTTATCATATAGTCATTAATAAAATGTTCCTTGAATATGTTTTTTAGTTCACGTACCTGAACTGTATATTTTGTCATTATATAAGAAATAAAAATAATATGATTTTAAATGACTTAGTAAGTTGACTGAGTTTATATTAGTAGTGAGTTGTGTAATAGTGAATTAAATATAATATATGTGAGGTTAATGAGGAGAATTCTGGTTTTGGGTTTTTGGCCAAAGCATACTTTGAAATTTAAAATTACTAAAAATATTGTGGTGCTTTTTTATAATATTGTTAGTGATGCATAGTTATATATCATCTTTAGCTCATCTTACTACGTTACTACTACAATTTCATTTGTGTTTTTAGTATATTGGCTTAAAATATTTTTTCATGTTTTATAGTATTTGCTAAATTTATCATTATTATTAACTTCCCATAGGGTAAGTTATAGCAATGGGCCAAAAATCAAATTTTTTTTTGCATGTCTTCACGTTTCAGAGGTTTCTGAACATTTTGGCATACTTCATATAAAACGGATGTGTGTGTGTGTATGTATGGGACAATTTTCCGTCGACGATTTCGGGCGTATGGATGAGCCGATTTGAAAAATTTAAAAAGCAATCGATTTCTGTTGACAGGGAGATTGGTGTAGTTTTGGCAAAGGCAGGTCCAGCGATATGGAGCAAAAAGTGCTAAAAATGACAGTTTTCAAGAAAACGGATCAACCGATTTGAATGATCCAAAAAACATTCGATTTGTAATGATGGGGATAAGTGGTTATTACAATTTGGCAAAGACGGGTCCAGCCATTTCGGGAGATACACAGCTAAATATGCAATGGCAGTTTTTGAGGGAACTAAGCATCCGATTTGAATGATTTAAAAAAAAATCTGCTTATCTATATACAAAACGTACAGGTAAAAATTTAAATCTATTGATTATTATCCTATAAATTTTAGTTTTTTACTCCCGTATATATATATTAATTATTGAAATATTCTTAAAACAAAATCCAATATTGCTTTCAAAATTCATTTTTAAATTTAACGGTTTTTTGACAACTTAAAAGATAATTTTCAACCGATATGGCAATACTAAACGCCGCTTAAATAAAAATCTACGTTTTGCATTTTAGGTTAAGCCGGGATTGACAGTATTTTGCATAGCAAATATTTTATTAATTATATCGATTAATTGATTTTTTACGTCAGCAGAAAAAGTAAGATATATTATTCACAACAGTTTTTCATGTCGTTTCATTGCTCATTGTTTTGCTTTTAGAATGGTCGTTTATTTCTCTGACAGCCCCCCTACGAGCGGAATTATGTACAATGAAGAGAACACGACGTTAAGGGTGAACCATGCCCCTGTTGGATGTGGGACTGTCTATCTAACAGAAACGTAAGTGAAATATTAATTAGCATGAAATATCAAAACCAAAACCTTTAAGGCTAATTTGAATCCCTAACTCTTGTGTAGAGGACACATGTTTTGCTTAATTCCATTCCAATTAATACAATTTCTACAAACACATAAGTTTACTAAGCATTTGTTTCCTTTAGAACATTATGCTGGTTCAATACAACTCAGAATCGAGGTTCTCTATTCCATGGAAAAATGTTATCATGCACGCAATAACATCTACACCTGATGCAGCAATATATATGCAAGTCGATTTTAAATTTCTTGGGAAAATGCGACAAACGAAAATAAATGAAAATGGTGAATCAGAAGACGACGAGCCTATCATGACTGAGATGTGGCTGTTGCCTGAAAATAAAGATAATCTGAATCAAATATATCAGATTATGAATGAATGTCAAATTATGAATCCTGATGAAGAGAACAAAGGTGGGTAAATAAATCACTATCTATTACTATTAAAATCACTATTTATATTACTAATAAAATCAATATTGTTTTTAAGGAGCTCATAGTTTAATAGCAATATTTATTGCTTAAGCATTCAATAACAAATCTGGCATATTTCGTTATATTTTTACAGATGACAGTGGTGGAGATAGTGATTTTGAGGAATGGCATGAGAACGGAGGAGGTGATATAGAACGATTGTCCATAAATGATCCAGATGATCTTGATGATGGTATTAAACATTTTTTACAATCACATTTTTTCAATTTCTCAAATAATTATTTTTAATATATTATCAAATCTTGTTTTTCTTTCAACAGATGGACAATTTGAAGATGCTGAATAATTTAGAATAACTATTGCATTTTGCATTTTATTTTAAGATACTTTCTAATTGATATGTTGTTTGTTTCAGTATGAATTTTATGTATGTTCTCATTATTTAGATTGTTGAACAATAATTAATTTCTGTGAAATAAATTATATTTTTTATAATATTGTTTATATATGCTATGAAATAAAGTTTCTAATTGTGAGTGGCAATTTAAATAAGAACTATTGTATCACTTATATTTAGCTCACATATTCATTTTCGAGATTTTCTTTTAAATATTTTAGGAAATTTTTATTACATGGTTGTAGTAGTATTCATAAATTTAACTTAAATAGTTAAGTGATTACATTATGCAGATTATTGTCTAAGTTTTTTAAATAAATATTATCTTAAAGATAATTCCCATTTTCTTGAAAAATATGATCGTCCGTAATGTTTCGGTCCTTATTAGTTCCACAAATTTATAAGAACTTTTTACATAATGAGGATAGGTAATTGTGACATTTTTTAGATATTTGCAATATTTTTAGAGATTTGATTTATAATATAATTTGAATCTATTTTGTACTTATGTTTATCGCATATTATTGTTAAAAATAAGTAAATTCTTTGATTTGATTTCGTTTTATTTTTTAATGAATTTAAAATTTTATTTCAAACTTATAACCGTTAAAAAAACAACGCGAGCGCCACTGTCGAGTTAAGAGCGAACTATCAATTGTTTCGATCTAATGGCAGCTGCTTTGCTTCTGTCACTTTTATGATTTTAACGAGCTTTCATTTTACCGGTGTGATTCGTTTTATTATTAAATCTTATTCCTAACAGATAAAAATCACTTTAATAGTTTGATACCCAAATTGAGATTTGCGTTATCACTTGTTTTATTAATCTTCGTGTAAAAGTTTTTAAAAGCCAAACTATTTGTTTTATCCAAGTGTTAATATTATTTGTTAAAAATGGTCGTCAAAGAATACGAAATGTTCAAACAGGAAGGTATATATTTATTTTTAAGCAATTTGAATTATTTTAGATTAAAAGAATTGCGAATTGTGCAATCAAATGAATTAAACTTAAGTAAAATGTAATTATTTTTCACTTATGTTGGAAGTTTATTATAAACTGTGATTATTTCTCTGTAACACTCTGAAACATTTAATGTTACTTCAAAGTATAATAGACATATAATATTCACAAAATGTAGTTACACATAGTCCTTAAGTTATTGTACAATTACGGTTTTTTGCTCCACTGTGCAATATTGATTATTTTATTTATATATTTTCTATGATTTTTGTTTCAAAAAAATTGCAGTTGCGATGAAATTGAAAGAAGTAAATAGCAATGCTGATAAGCTACTGTTTAAAGCCATAAGCCTGCTTAATATGCAACTGGCGCAGGCTTCATCAAAACCGTTAACACAATTAGTAAGTATATTTACTTTCATTTTAAAATTGTGTTTAACATCTTTATTCTGGGCCTATTAACATTTTACAATTACATTTCTTCTATGGAATCACTAATTTGTTTCATGTTTATTTACAAATTGTTATATTTTTTATTAGATAAAGGAAGCCGAGGTTGCAGAACAATCAAAGATTGATATGTCACAGAACGATAAGAAAAGGAAAATGTCTTCCGAAGATGAAGGTATGTTCAACAGATATTGCTATTCCAAAATGTTATCAAACACTTATGTGTATCTGAGCATTTGTTTTTTATCATATCTTGATCACTTACTTATAAATTGCTATTTAAGGTTATCTTACAGAAGCATCGAGACATAAGATTGCCAAGATCGGTGGTATTACTAAAAAACAAGTTAATATAACTGTTCTCACACCAAGCAGAATGGGTCCAAAAAGATATTATCAAAAGTCGATTCAAAACACCCATGAGGAACAAAACTATAAATAAATCAAATTATGGAATGATCACCCCCAAGGTAATGATTCTATAATAAATAAAATTTGTTATGAAATTTCTTTTTATTTGTAGATATATTTTTCTTATTTTATTCTCAGGTTGCTAAAAATCAAACTTTAATGCTTATGAGAAGGCCTGTCCAAGGGGAAATGGCTATGTCCTTGGCCGGAAGTCCACTCCTGGTGTCCAAGTATGTGCATTACTTTATATATGTTTTATATTGATAGTAGAATCTAGGGGGTTAAAACAATAACTTTTTCATATGCATTTTTTTCATGAATAACTCCGGGCTTCAATTAGTAATAATGAGGCTGATTGTTTTTTATGCTATCAAATCTCAATTTTACACCAAAAATATATTCACAAAGCAGAATTTAATTACACGTCGAACACTACTTTTATTAAATATCTATCCCTGAATTGAACTAAAGTTAGTAATAATTATTTCACATTTTGGCGAGTATTATAAAAACAATATCTGTTTATAGTGTTGTTGGCGAAGAATTGGCCAATGTTAATATACCAATGCCCGATGGAACACATCTCGCCTTGTTCCCCACACAGTTAGGAAAAATTGATCCTGAAGATTTGCCGAAATTTGATGCTGATACTAAAAAACAATTACAAATGCTTGCGGAAAACTTAACTAAAATTTGCAAGATGTGTAAATAAATCTAAATTTTTTTAGTGAATTGTAGTAGAGTAATAGTTAAACCACTGATAATGTTCAATTATTTAATTAGACTTAGCATTTTATAATTACATTTTACGATATATGTTGTACTTATTGTCTATATTTGTTAACTGTTGATACGATGACGAACTCCCCACATGAAATTGGCATTTTGATTTGTTTTGATATAAGTCCTGACGGGCCCCACAACGTGGTGATGAGGAATATCATGTCTCTTTACTGCATTCCGAGATAATTCTGATAATGATAAAAGTTTTATAGAATAAACTGGCAATATATTTAATTTTCTAAATTTAATAATAAGTTAAACAAAAATCTAATCTAGTTATAAAAAAAAATTGTTCTTAAAAACATACAAACTTTCACTGTAAATCTAAAAGGTATAATTCATAAAAAATAGTACATTAATATTTCTGTTCTATATTTTTAATCAATTTTAAGTAGTTGCATTAGTTTTGTAAATAAATCATTTTAATTGTATAGTATTAAATAATGTATTTATATCAATTTAGTTAATTTCGTTATTAAATAAATCATTGATATATTATTTATAAATTTTATTTAACAAAACTTGATTATTATATATATATATATATATATATATATATATATATATATATATTCTTGAAATGTTAATTTGCAGTCTATCATTAAAGTGAAAGAACAATAAATAATGATCTATTTATAATAAATTTAATCTTAAAACTTTATAACAAACTCTTTTAGATAATGTTTATAAAAATTTTTTTAAGAAATTTATATTACAGTTTAAAAAAAAAATACCGTGTCGAAACGTTCTAAATAAATAGATCATTATTTATTGTTCTTTCACTTCGACAATTGCCTTCAAATCAACATTCGAGAATATATCTCAATGTTGAACAAAAAATCTAAAGCTTATATATATATATATATATATATATATAGATATATATATATATATATTATTTTATATTCTATTTATGAAAAAAATTCTCACCTGGGTGGAAATTAAGCGTTCTTGCCATTACACCACAGTTCAAAAAGAACATCAGTAAAAAATAGCGAAAGATTTAACTGTAATAATAAACCTGCCTATTAATTTGTTTTTAAAAAATAATACATTTATATTAACGAATATAATTAAACATTTCTTAGTAAGTTGGAAAAACGGTAAATAATTTTTGAAGTTTAGTCGTGGTAACAAAAAATATTATATTTTATACGTTGTATATCCCATTGAATGAAAATAAAAAAACAATTACCGCAAATTATTATACACAATTGGATAATGTGATTTAATATCGATGTTAGAAATGTCTCAAAGAAAAAGTCGCGAATTTTAGTAATAATTGGTTTTTGAGGTAAATCGAGTCTTATAAATGCTAAATTCGGTGATAATGATAATTATATTACATAAACAAACTTAATGTTTTATTTAAATAAAACGAAAAACTAGTGGTGTGTGGCATCGTGTCTTAAGGCAAATTGCTGGAACTTCCCGTACCGTTATGAAATATTTGAGGAATATGAAATGTTTTTAAATAGATTATTATAAATACTGTAACTTTTACTATTCGTATTTTATAAACAAATTCTAAGAGCTTATGAATTGGACGACTACGTTTATATATGTTTACATAAAAAGTAAATAAATAAAAACTTAATCAATCGGATTTAAAATGAAGGACATTGTCTAATATTTATATAAGAACTATATAAACTGCAAAGTTAAAATTATTTATTTCAAGCATATAAGTGAACTAACTGTAGAACTTTGGCTAGAATTAAAATTAAAATCCGAATTATTTTCTATATTGAATAGATAACAGTTATGCTTACCAAGTTTCTTAAATTCATAATGACCGAAATTTATTTTTATATATTATTGGAGTTCACGATTTCGAACTAGTCTAAACGTATTTGTAGAAATATCTTCCGATATAATAAGAAATGTTGTTTTATATATATGGAGAAACTATTCCACTTCTACTTATTTCGGTTTCATAGTTTTTAACGGATGAGTGGAGATCGAAAATGCTTAAACGTGATAAATTTAAATATCTATTCATAAAAATGAATTCTTGAAAAACAACAGATTGCGGTTTGTCTCTCTGTTATTGGTTGTAATTTTCATTTATAAATTATCAATATTTGAGTCTTAAAATAACGATTGTGAAAACTTGTGTATGGAATTGTGCCTTAAGGCAAATTGCTGAAACTTCCGGCTTTAACTTGAATTTTGAAATTTTTGAAGTTTAAAAGATTAACTAATGTTCCAGCAATATGCCTTAAGGCAAATTTACGGTATCCAAATATTTTTTTTAAAAAATGCGGTTTTATAAGATATAACACCCAGTCTAAAAAGTAGTCTTTTATTCTTGTAAATTGATATGTACTTTCTTCTATTTAGGGACAATGAGAGTTAATAAAAGAAAGGTCTGTGCTCAATGGACCGCAAACAACTTTCTGCTATTTATTCTAAAAAAATTGTTTTTTTTTTTATAATTGACCAACGCACTTATATAGATTCGACCGAACTTATTAATTCTTATGATTTTCTGTCTTATTTATCTCTGCTGGAATATTATTTCAACTAATGAGACTTTGGTAAAAATTTCTCCAGTGTTTAAGAATATTTTCGCTTTTTTATCAAATGTTTGAAAAAAAGGGTATTATCTCCATTTTTCACTATAAATCGATTTTCTTGAAATTTTGGAAATTGGCTTATCTTGCTCTTAAATGCAATAGTGAAACAATTTGAAACAAGCCTACATTGGGGAGCAAAGGCATTTTTATTTATTACTTCTCGGTGTTGTATTCTTTTCTTTCAAAATAACATAATATTCATAAAAGACCTTTTAATTTGATTTCGTTTTTTTTTTTAATGAATTCAAAATGTTATTTCAAACTTATAACCGTTAAAAAGAAACGCGAGCGCCCTGTCGAGTTAAGAGCGAACTAGCAATTGTTTCGATCTAAGGCAAGCCGCTTTGCTGCATCTGTCACTTTATGATTTTAACGAGCTTTATTTTACCGGTGTTTCGTTGGTTGATTCGTGTTTATAAATCTTATTCCTAACTGATAAATGTCAACGTTAATAGTTGGATAACTAAATCAAGATTTGTGTCATCAATTGTTTTATTAATATTCGTGTAAAAGTTTTTAAAAGCCAAACTATTTGTTATATCCAAGTGTTAATATTATTTGTTAAAAATGGTCGTCAAAGAATACGAAATGTTCAAACAAGAAGGTATATATATATTTTTTTATTATTATTTTATATTGGAGGAATTGTGAAATAAGCAATCAAATGAAATAAACTTAAGTAAAATGCAATTATTTTTTACTTAGGTTGGAAGTTTATTATAAGTGTGATTATTTCTCTGTAACACTAAGAATCATTTAATGCTACTTCAAAGTATAGTACACATATAATGTAAATATGTATAAATGATGTATAAATATATACAAAATATTGTTGCACATAGTTTTTATAAATTTACATAATATCTTCGCTTATTTCTTTATTTTTGCTCCTTCATCCCATCATTGTTTATTTTATTTATGTTTTTTCTATGATTTCATGATTTCATGTTTCTATGATTTCATGTTTCAAAAAACTTGCAGTTGTGATGAAATTGAAAGAAGTGAATAGCAATGCTGATAAGTTACTGTTTAAAGCTCTAAGTTTGCTTAAAATGCAACAGGCGCAGGCGTCATCAAAACCGTTAACACAATTAGTAAGTATATTTACTTTCATTTTAGAATTGTATTTAGCATCTTTATTCTGGGCCTATTATCATTTTGCAATTACATTTCTTTTAAGGAATCACTAATTTGTTTTATGTGTTATGTGTTATGTTTACAAATTGTTATATTTTTTATTAGATAAAAGAAGCCGAGGTCGCAGAACAATCAAAGATTGATATGTCACAGAACAATAAGAAGAGGAAAATGTCCTCTGATGATGAAGGTATCTTAAATAAATATTACAACTCCAAAATGTTATCAAACACTTTGTATGTGTATTTGAGCATTTGTTCTTTATCATATCTTTGGTTACTTTTAATAAACTGCTATTTAAGGCTATCTTACAGAAGCATCAAGGCTAAAGATTGCCAAGATTGCTGGTACTACTAAAAAACAAGTTAATAACTCATCTCACACCAAGTAGAATGGGTCCAAAAAGTATATTATCGAAAAGTCGATTCAAAACACCAATGAGGAACAAAACTATAAATAAATCAACTTATGGAATGATCACGCCCAAGGTAATGCTTCTATAATAAAAAAAAACATGTTTTATTATGGTATATCATAAACTTTTATTTGTATACATTTTTTCTTATTTCATTCTCAGGTTACTAAAAATCAAAATTTAATGCTTATGAGGAGGCCTGCACAAGGAGAAATGGCTATGTCCTTGGCGGGAAGTCCACTCCTGGTGTCCAGGTATGTGCATTACTTTATTTATATGCTTGTGTTGATAGTAAAATTGGAATTATCAGTTATTTGGACATAATATTATTAAAACAATAATGCAAATTTTATTTTTATTTCTTCTTTCAACTTTCAACCATACTTTCATGAATAATTCTGGGTTTCATTTACTATCTCAATTTTAATTACACCAAAAATGTATTCACATGATTGTATGAGGTTTTTAGCAAATTTTATTATGATTAAATATTCAGTAGTATCATTAATTTTACATTTTGGCGACTATTTTAAGAACAATATCTGTTTTTAGTGTTGTTGGCGAAGAATTGGCCAATGTTAATATACCAATGCCCGATGGAAAACATCTCGCCTTGTTCCCCACACAGTTAGGAAAAATTGATCCTGAAGATTTGCCGAAATTTGATGCTGATACTAAAAAACAATTACAAATGCTAGCAGAAAACTTAAGTAAAATTTGCAAGATGTGTAAATAAATCTAACATTAAATACTTTGAAAATACTCGATCAATCTTCAGATTTGAAATTCGCGCCTTTTGTTTTTGTCATTGGATCAAACATGGCGTCTTTGACATATATTTTGACATTTTTGCAAAAACGGTGTAAATATATAATTCTGTATGAAAAATTTAGTGCTTTGTGAATTATTGTACATTAAATTAGTGAATAATTTATTTATATAATTAACCTATAAAAAATTTTATGATTGTTGTGCACATGGATCGCTTTGTCAATTTTAATGAAAGTAAGTTACAAATATACAAAAATTTGAATTTGAATGTCATATTTTGATAAAATTGATAAAGATTACAGATAAATCTTACTTATAATATATTATTTGGATCACATAAAGATGTGTTGTATGTGAACAACTTGATAAATTGTAACAATACACATTTTTAAACTTAGTTGTTATTTTCTGCAGTTTCATTTAAGTATATAGTTTCAGCTTTCAGTAAATTAATATACATTTATTGACTGTTTTTTTCACTATTTTGCTAACGATACTGTCTCATTTTTGAGCAGCTGTAGTATGTGTCTCGCCTATAAAAATAATTTCTAAAAATATATAGTAACCACGAATAATACAAATAATACAAAATCAAAGCAATCATACTCGACACGACGACCAATCATAATCGACCCGTATAGAAATGATATCACCGAGAACGAATGACGAATCATTGGCACTCGACTCTGCCGTAGCGCACTTTCGTTGTTTTTGCTCAGATTTACACCCTAATTGCGTTTAAAGAAGTTTTACTTCAAAAATATTTGTAGATTATATGAAATCTTTGCATATTTCAATTAAGTGCCGTTTGGAGGATTTTGAAGAAATTTTTAATCTGTTTGTATGAACTGCAAATTATTTTTGAAATATATTATTTTTAAAACCAAAGTGTTTTTAAAAAATGCAACAAGGTACTAGATTCTGTATTGTTGATCAAATCCATTGAATATTATTAAAATTCAGAGAATGTCTACAAACCCATACACAAAGTTAAATCATTAATCATGATGTATTTATTTTAAGCAATTTTTTTCATAAAATGTTATATTTAAAAAATAAATTCAAAACAGCAAAATATTAAAATTTTAAATATTAATAAGTTTTTAAAACATAACATCGATTAAAATCTCAAACATTATAATCTTTCATACTGCCCCCAAGAATCGCCAACTTTTATATTCACAGGAAGGGGAACATTCAAACGAATCGCATTTCCATGGAATCCTTAAGAATTTTTACAAATTCTTCAACACAATTTTCTTGTACTTCATATATTAATTCATCATGCATTATGCAGCATCAAACAAATCGAGTCATTCTCAATTTTGCAGTTCGATCACTGTTACTGAATTGAGAACATTGTTCTATTTTTTTGCTAACAAAGGTGTCGACTCTCACCCATAGCAATTTTGGATATATCAGCTGCGGAACCTTGTATTGTTGTATTTAGAGCTTGCCTTTCTGCTTGACCTGATAAAAATAGACAAGGGATTAAAATAATTAATATTAATTAGATTAAATTTACAGTATCTGTTTACCTTTTAATGATCCGCTGCTTTGGTTAATATTGGGGCAAATAACGTCGCCTTCCTTTAATAGTTTCTACAAAACCAGTTTCACTGCACTTTTGAATAACGCTTTTTGTGTACCTATTATATAAAAAATATATTATTTACTAGATGATGAATATTTTTAGTTAATTTTATTACCTATGTAATACAGGGTATGCTCGGGTTGAATGATTCTAAAAATGTTAATGCATCCAGTTCAGTGACATTAAGTGTATGCGACAAAGCTTTTGTACCCATGCCATAAATCATTCCATAAATTAGTTGTTTAGTCGTGTTGTTCATTACATCATCCACTTCATCTTCTGAAACGTTATTCCATTGAGCAGAGAAATCGATTTTGAATACATCCTTGTTCGATTTTATATATCACACAGAATCGGATCTTCTGATAAATGGGTCAAAATTCTGAATTCAAGTGTCTATAGTCTGCAATACAATTCGGTAACCATCCTTAGAAGAAAATATTGAACGGCAGCTTAAATTTTTTAATTCATCGTCCACAGCAAATCCTTTGGAACATTTTGAATATTGGGCTCAGACATAACAATTCTCTCCCGGTGCTGTTTGCATGATAAAGTGTCCGTGTGTAATCTATTATTTGAAGTTATATTTCGCAGTAAAGGGTAAATTTTTTTGTTAAAGTATTTTCTAGTTTCCTCCCCAAATCATGATCAAGTTGATTGAAATTGAGTGTGTGAGCGTTTCAAGTACTTGTTTGTTAGAGTGCTGACTTTTTGCCATTAAATATTCCTAAAACTTTAGCAACTTCTTTTGAAGACGACATATTAAATCTTCTGCCTGTTAATTTTAAGCTTCATTTTGGATTTTTTGCATTTTGTCTTCAAC